TTATTTATTTGTGTAGAATTCTCCTTAAAACAAGAAAAGAATACTCTTATAATCACTCCAAACACTGGAAATAGTAGAAATACTGGAAATAGTAATTTCAGAAGAAACTCAAAACAAGTATAATACAGGGAAAGAATAAAACGTGAATTTATTTATTTAAGATAATTTATAAAATTGTTATAGCATTAAGTTTAATTAAATAAGAGTAAAAAGAGGTAGAAATGTCCTTGGATCTATTATATGACATAATTTTTGTCCTCAAAAGTCCATGTTATCATCTTAACATGAAGATAGCAGGAAGGGAAGAACGAAGGGGGGGAAATCGGAGGGGGAGACGAACCATGAGAGACGATGGACTCTGAGAAACAAACTGAGGTTTCTAGAGGGGAGGGGGTGGGGGGATGGGTTAGCCCGGTGATGGGTATTAAAGAGGGCACGTCCTGCATGGAGCACTGGGTGTTATATGCAAACAAGGAATCATGGAACATTACATCAAAAACTAATGATGTAATGTATGGTGATTAACATAACATAATAATAAAAAATAATAATAAGTTAAAAAAAAGTCCATGTTATAATATTTGAACAAGAAAAACTGAAAAACACAAAATCAAAAAGACATTTTTTAGGGGTGCCTGGGTGGCTCAGTGGGTTAAGCATCCAACTCTTGGTTTTGGCTCAGGTCATGATCTCGTGGTCATGGGATCGAGCCCACACCTATGTGGGGCTCTGTTCTCAGTGCAGAGTCTGCTTCAGATTCTCTTTCCCTTCCCCTCTGCTCCTCCTCCTGCTTGCTCACACATGTACTCTCTCTCTCTCTCTAAAATAAATAAATAAATTCTTTTTTTTAAAAAAGAAAAAGACATTTTCATATTAGCAGCTAAAAATCTGTTAAATAACTGACTATTAATATAGCCTGAAACACAAAACATTTCTTTTCTAAGAAAATAATAAACACTTAGGGAGTAAATTCATATGCAAAAAATAAAGTGAGGCTATTTCCATAAGTACAGATAAAAGTACTACTTAAGCTACTGGTAGACTTACTGTAATATCAAAGTTATATAAGATTTTATAATTTTAATAAATAAATACAGGACTTAATCTATTAAAAAAGGGGTGAAAGCATAACAAAGGACATATAAATATTTAAAAAGTAGTAATAGTGTGGCTACCTGACCAAAATTCAAGGTGAGTTGATTTGAAGTGATTTGATAAAAATATATCATACCATAAATGAAAGTTTGTACTCTTTGACCAGTTATGAAATGAATAAATTCTGAAAGTACATCAGAGTTTCTAACCAATATTTGGCATTCTTAAGCTCTGCATATCTAATAGGTCTGAAATGGTATATCATTGTTTTAATTGCAGTTCCTCATTTATGTGTCACCTTGTCCTTTTTTCTTTCTCTCTTAGTTACTTGTAGGAAATTTTTCTTTTTTGGTAAATACTTCATACTAATCCGTTCACAGATTCACAGTTAAATTTGCTGAATGGATGATCATTTTTAGAAACCCCCAAGAGTTATCAGTAGAAGATAATAAGAGTAGGGATGATTAAGTATACATTGGCTTTCAGGGACAGCTTTAATAAAAAAAAAAAAATGGAAATTGAGTTGAATCTTGAAGGGGGAAGGTCTTAATTAAGAGGATTAGTTTGGAAAAGAAACAAGCAACTTCACAGAGGTAGTAACTGTTGGTGTTTTGAAGCCATGAAAAAAAAAAAACCCACAGTGTGTCTTGGTTTAATGATTTTTAGGATGTTTCAATTATTTACTTATTGTTTTTTATTATTTTTAATTTATTTCCCAATTAGTTCTAAAAATTATTCAAGACAGCTTACACACTATATATATTCAGTGCAACATATCTGTTTGTAAGTTAGTAAAGTGTGACAAAGGAAAATTAAATTTAGGATTCGACGGCAGCAGGGAGAAATGTAACAAAACAAAATGCAGGTCATTAAGACCTTACATAATGATTAAAGCCGAACTGTCCCTATAACTCTGAGATTCCCAGTAGCCAAAGCAAATAAGGAAATTAATGAATTTGAGGATTCCAACCACCTTTCCCAGACTAGGGTCTGGGAAAAATTTTCTCCCACAGGTCCTCATACATAAGATAGTGAGTGATACAGGGGGCTCCATCCTCAATAGCATCCCAGTATTAGACGATATTATAAATATCTAATGACTTCTTGTAGTGCCCTTCTGCATAAAAGGAGGCATAATTTAAAAGCCAAATTTAGTGAAATTGATCCAGATTGCAGCATACTAAACGTTAGGATTCAAGAATTTGAAATCACTCACAGTTTTCCTCAATTCTAGGATAAAATCTTGGCTCCTTTATAGACACTAATAAATACAATCCTTGTTATTCAGAAAGAATTTGGGGGGCTTATGACCAACTGGAAAACATATATCCCAATGAAAGCTACATAAGGTGAACAAGCAGTGAACACCTAACTAAATACTTCTTTTATGAATTGAATCTGGCTAGCAAGGCTACAATTTGCAATCTCCCAAAGATGGGTCAATTGACAAATTTCATGTGGAAAGGGACTCTGTATGCTATCTTTTTCATTGTTGGGTCACCAGGTTTTAGCATAGTGGCTGTCACCTACCAAATGTTCAATAAGAGAAATTTGAGAAATAAATGAATGAACAAATGAAGGAAGTAAACTTCTGCAAATTTTGTTTTCTACAATGCAGCGTTTGAGAGTTGTGCCACATAGAGAGGTTCTATGCTTCAGCAAGGACGTGAAGCATAAGTAAGTCTTTTCTTTTACTCATTAAAAGCAGATCCATATGAACTAAAAAGAGGTAGACTTGACACACTTTTCAGAAAACTAAGAAACCTGATTAAGAGTGATCATTGTCCCCAGAAAAAAATAGCCTCGGTGTTTAAGTTTGTTATGAGGCTCAAATGAGAAAATAAAGTTAATATATGTAGAATGTCAAGATCTACACATGTGTAAATATTTGTACAATTCTTTGGTTACCTTCCAAAAGTCTTCACGTGCTGACCTTTCCAGCTATTTGATGTCTCCATTATACTTCTGAAAACTTGCACTGGTCTATCACCTCCTCTCCATGTTAAACACTGACTTTAGTTCCTTTTGCCTGGGGCATTGTAATAACACTTCTCCCTTTTCATTGTTTTCCCTGTCTCTGGTTTCTCCTTTTGGGGTCCATACTTCATAGCATAGAGTAGTCAGGTCCATGGATTCTGGGTTGGAATGTCCATTCCATGACTTATTAGCTGTTTGATATTGAACCAGTTACATTACCCTGATTTGTTCTCAGTATCACTATCTATAAAAAGAGAATAATAATAATAATGTCTACCACATTTTGATTATTATGAAGGCTTAAATAAGATTTTCTATATAATGTGCACGATAACCAGCAAATAGTCAGCAAGTGATAAACTCTAATTATTCTGATCATGATTATTCAAAGATAAATGTCAAAAAAAAAAAAAAAACTCTAATTATTCTGATCATGATTATTCTACCAGAACATTGTGTCTGAATCTGCCATCTGACCCTGACTATCCCTACTTAAAACTTCCAGTGATTTCTAGAAGCCTAAATTGGCATAGTAAAGGATGTACCTTTCCCTATGGTCTGGCCTCAGCTTCTCTTGGCACCCTCATCACCACTATCCCTCCCTCTCCCCTTTTATATTCCGATCAGTTATTTCTGGGTTCAGCTATCCAAGTAGACCATAGCCTTTCAAGTGTCCAAGACTTGGCACAGGCTGTTCCCTCCTTCTGGCATACTCCGCCCTCCCTGCTCTTACAGAAATTTTTCTCCTTGTCTGGACACCATTATCTACCTTTCTTTGTAGTATTAACAAGCCTGCGGTCACTATATAAACTATCTAGAGCATACTGAACTTCCTTATATTTGTGTCCGTCTTCCTCATGGGGAGCCTGTGAAATTCTCTGGGTCGGGAACCCTCTTTAAGTGCTCTCTAAGTTCCAGAACGTTTAGAACATAGTAAATATTTAATATATACCATTAAACAAATGAACAAACTCCTAGCCAGAGCCTCCCGCCTAACATGTGCTCAATGACATTTACTGAATTGCATTGATTGAATTTAATGTAATTTAAACAACTCTTGCTCCTACAGAACCCCAGCCTATTTGTGAACAGAGATTAGACCCTCTGGGTGTTTCACGGTTCTGTTCCGGGCTACTAATGCGAGTTCATACATGGGCAATTTTAAGAAAGAGGTTTTCCTTATCAGAACCTAGAAAAAAGTGGGACTTGCGACAGATGGCACTAGAAAAAGGGTTGCCTGCCCAGAGATGCTGCCTCATCGCTTGTTTCCCTTAAATCTCGTGCCTGGAGAGACAAGAGAGGGGGAGGGAAGAAAAGTGGGGGAGCGAGTGAAAAAGTTGGCTCGCCTCTCCTCCTCCCCCTCCCACAGAGAAGGACTACAGTAAGGCAGATGTCCTAGGATGCTTCCTAAGGGGACCTGATTCTTGGAGTCCTCAAATACGTGCTGAATTTCCTCTGCCCCTTCCCTTCTTCTCTGGCTCTCCTTCTCCATTCAATCCCCCCCACCGCGTCCCCCCATCACAGGAACACAGGCACACCCTGGAGACCAGAGAACCGCCCCGCCTCCACACTCTCAGTTCTAGGACCACCGTGACTGCCAACGGAGGATGCCAATCACAGGCAGCCTTAGCCAGATCCCTGGGAGTTGAGTAAAAAAAAAAAAAAAAAAAAAAAAGGTTGAGGACAGAGAGGAAAAGAACATAGCAACCTCTAATGCCCAAAGAAATCTCAGTATGCAAATGAATACAGGATCCCGAGCAAGGAAAGAGCAGGATATCTCCGACTACTCAGAGGACGTGGAACACTACAAACAGGAACTTTAAAGGGAATGAAATCTGTTGCCTGTTCCACTAGGAATATTGTTTGCAAGGCACAAGGTGTCTTTTGGTAGTGAGCACCCTCTGCGCATGCGCAGGTCCTTTCGGGAATTACTGCCCTGCCGCCGACTAAGTTGCATTCCTTGAATCCTCGCAGGAAAGACAATTCTTTAATCAGAGTTAGTAATGTGGACAGTACAAAATCGAGAGAGTTTGGGACTTCTCTCTTTCCCTGTGATGATTGCCATGGTCTGTTGTGCACACAGGTGAGCTGCAGTTGTTGAACGTCTCTTTTTTTCTTGGTTTTTTTTTACATGCTTGCTGGATCATGTAGCTTGTTATTTGGGGGTAAGGTGTGCTTGTCTATATTTATGTCTGCTCGCAGTTTGTGTTCATTTTGAATACGGTCCCTACTTCTTCCCCTCAGCGCCAATGAGCCCAGCAACATGTCATACGTGAAAGAGACAGTGGACAGATTGCTCAAAGGATATGACATTCGCTTGCGGCCGGACTTTGGAGGTAATGCTTCATCTTTTTTCAACCTGTAACCCATACATATCTAGTTCTCCTTTCCTGTCAAAGATAAATGTCAAAAAAAAAAAAATCATGTCATTTCCGCAAGTGTGCGCTACGCCCTACGCCCTGGACACACACACACACACACACACACACACACCCCGGACCCTCAGTCGCAGGTGGATGAAACCCCAGGCAGAGCCGACCTTCCCCCCGCCCGACACACCCTCTGCATAGTCACTGCATCACGCGTGTGCCCACACCTGTTTTCCTAGGCTGTCCCTTGCAAGGGGGAGTGGGGGATGGAGGGAGCCCATTCAAAATGTAGTAAGCGCAGGGAAGCCCCCTGGCTCTCCCCATCCTGTGTTCACTCTAAGTATATGTCCATAATGTGTCCCATCTTCCCGCAGGGCCCCCTGTGGACGTAGGGATGCGGATCGATGTCGCCAGCATAGACATGGTCTCCGAAGTGAACATGGTGAGTGGCCTCCCGACGGGCCCGCGGCCCGGCTTACGCAGATGTGAAATGGACGGGTCCCCTCGCCCTCTGCGTTTCATTGGCGGTCACTTCGCCCCGGCCCCGGGAGTCCCATTCCGCGTGTTCCCCACACTAACACCTCCCCCCCGCCGTTGCCCCTGGTTTGTATTTTCAACACACACACAGGCTACTGCAGTGTTCCAGAGGAAACGTGCTCGGCACTATTTGGGGAAGGACGGTGACTGTGGCGCGGGAGGATCGTGTGGGGCGGAGTCTGAGCGATACTTTAGCCGGGTTTCCTTTGGTGTTCCGATGCGGAGGGCACCATCTGCCGGCGGCCGGGCGGCCTGCACTAGGGTCCCCGGACCGTGGTCCGTAGTCGCTGAACCCGAGAGCCAGCCCAGGTCCCGCCACCAGGCGCCCGAGCACACAGACACGGTTTCAGAGTGTGCCCTCCTTCTTTCCAGGCTCTAACACACCTTGTCGCGGGAGCAACAGGCTGAGACAACAGTTCATGCTGGCTAATACGAAAGTGCTCAAGTCCGCTTCTGGGGAGGCTTGTATTGTTCCCATGTGGGGGTTGATGAATTTGTCTTCTAGCAGCTTGCAAATTTAAGTTGAAATAGAATGGGTCGGAGTTATTGCTTTGCTTTACCGTAGAAACCTGAGCATGCCAGAAAAGCCTGATAATTAAAGGTACGGCGGAGGGGGTGGGGTGCGGTAGTAACATAAGGCAGCCCTTTCAAAAGGTTAACATTCTTTTATTTCCTTTTTTCCTTCTCCCTTTCTGAAGCTGTTGCACAGTAGCTGTCATCTTCTCTATTGGCTGTTTCCAACCACTGTGGGGTAGCAGTTTCCTAGTTGTTAGAGTTTCTAACTGTTGCTTCTTGTAAGGCAGGGGGAAAAGCCTGTTGCTTTTCTAGAACCAACCACCCAGAGAACAGCTAGATCTACGTGAGCAAAATGCCATTTTTATTCCATTTGCGAAAAAAAATATTGTGGCAGCAGAAATTTAGACAGCCCGAATAATTTAAAGACTAAAACCCTCTGGGATTTTGTCACTCTATAGTTGTAAAGGCTACTGAATTGTCATTGTCATTTCATTTCATTTCCTTACCAGTGTGCCCTTTTATTTTAACACGCTAAGGTTTAAGAATTCTTTCTTTTTTTCGGTTATGTCAGGAAAAAAATAAATATGTTTATAATCTATTGAATAGGATTAGAAGAAAAAGTCTCTTAAATGTGTATCTTTTATAGCTGTAACTTTCCTTGCTTTAAGTGGCTTATTTAAAATAATGTCACTGATGGTTGTATTGGGAAAAGAAAAATAATTTTTTAAAAAAATGAATGCACAGTGAATATTTTCTGACTTGAGAAAGATTTTTAACAGACTGACTTATTTATAATATTCTGTTCATATACATCTCACTACCACAAAGCAACCCGAAACCCACTACTTACAAACACTGGGGAATGTAACAACATGTGCATATACACAAATAATACCTCCTCCATGTCACTGCAACTGGACAAATTAGATAATGAATTAAAAAGTAGTCTGTATCATATAGATAAATGATGATAATATTTTCCTTTCAGTCATTTATTTTGCCACCTTGTAAGTACCCACATAGATCATTTATAAAATGGGAGAAGATTCAGACAGCTCAAAAGTCAAACAGTGGTTTGCCAGTGTCCATTTTCTGTATAGGGTACGATGCTTTTCAGAATTTTTAAAAATGCATAATTCTGTTGACTATATTTACAAACAACTTCTGAGTTACAATGAGAAACCGAATTGAATAGGGAAGTTGCTATTAACCAAAACAACCACCATAACAACAAAAAAGCTCTGTGTAACCAGTTGTGCAACTGAATTCATACATAGCCCAGACAAAAAGGATTGAATTTAATTGCAGTACCACTGGAAAGGGCTCCTAATGATGGAATAATACAGCCTATTTACTTACTGCACCATGGATATATGCACTTGATTTTTAAAAAATATTCCCCCAACAGATAAGCCTTTGAAAAATGTATTGTACTAAAATACCAATTACCTTTCCACAGTGGTGTTAGAAACATGATGGGAAAATAGAAACCACTAAACAGTGAAAAATAATAAACCTTGATTTACTTACTGTTCCTTGTTTTAATAAGAGTTACCAATGAGATCCAAGGTCTGTTTTATCTTTCTCACCTATGACAAAGCATTGAGATAAATAGATTGGAAATAAGCCCAAGAAAAATGGAAACAGAGAAATTTCAAGCTCGAGGGCTATCAACACAACCTCAGTAGTTAGCCCTAGTTAAGAGCATTGTCTACAATAGGCTTTGAATTTTAGATAATATAAATAGGGCTGAAATATCAATGGGAAATAAGACTCATTGATTTTTATATTAAGCATGTTTCAGTACCCTGATAGGCAGTAAATTTTGAGGTTATTTAAAAGGAAATTTTTACCAAAATTGAAAAAAATAAGAATGGACAAGGAATATAATAAAAAATAATTCTAAAGAAAATTCCTACTAAAATCCATTACTAAAACACTGTTCATTTTTATATTTTTATTCATTACCATTATTACCCACCCATTCCACGGTTGGGAAAAATGACATGATAATTGTATATTACATTAATGGGTTTGAGAACTAGGCTCTGTTAATTTTTGTTCTTTTCTTATGCTACCCTAAGTAAAATATAATTCCACTTTGGTTTGTAGCATATCTGTTTTAAAGACTAACATAACATCACATAACATCGAGTATTTTCTGATTCATGTTCTTCAGGATATAGAATGTTTTTCCCAAATTAAGAAAATGAAAGAGAGCTTTTATAGTCAAGAACCTATATAATCAAGAATTGTTGATTCTGAGCAGTGAATTCTGAGCAATATTCCTCTGAGGAATAATTCTGATGCAGAAAAGCTATACTTAGGAGCAAGACTTTTCAGGAATTAATATTATTGATTAAATTAGGAAGGATTTTTTCCTCTGGCATTATGGGATATATTATGCAGGTGATAGTGATTATATACTGTTATTTTCTCAACAATTATCTTAAAAAAGCTACCGTGATTTCCATTTATTGCTATATTAAACCCTTCAAACCTTCCCTTAGTTCCTGCCAAGCTATATATCTACTGTCTCTCTCTCTCGACGAAAGCTGAACAGAAGGCAACTGGGGCAAAAAGAAGACAACAGCCCCCATAAATTGCCTGAAAGTAACCACTAACATCTGTTAATATAAACCAAGTAAAACACAGATAGTAGTAAGCAGGTCTTCTCTTTGAGCAGAAGACTGGGGAAGCATGGTATTAACTACTTGCAAACAAGTGGTTGAATTCTTGCATTTCAGATTCCAATAACTAGTTGTGTCTTCTTATTAAGGAGGTGCCTTCTGATGATCAAGTGGGAGTCCCAAGCATAAAAACTCTCTGTCCCCGACCGAAAGAGCAATGAACGGTCCAAGTGGTCACTCCCAGAAGACTTTATATATATTGAATCCTAACCCCAGTAGCCACTCCCAGGAATAGATAACTACCATGCATTCATTGTTTCCTTTCTGCCTTCATGCATGGGTGGATGCAGTAGTGAATGCTCTTCTAGGCACTGCAATGAAAAATAAAAAGAGTAAAAAAAAAAAAAAAACCCACAAAAGCCTAAAATGAGCCAATTGTGTAAATAATACCTAAAAGAAAAACAAATATAATTTACCGAATATCCACTGTGGTTAAATTCCACTGCTGTTGCTGCTGTTATTTTACTATTTGATTCCAGAGGATTCTGGTACATACTGCAGTTATGGCTAATTACTTGGTCTTGGTGACACAAAACAGTAACCACTTTCAGAATCCCCCTGCCCATTTCTTTAAGTCAGTGTTTCTCAGTCTGTAATGTGTCCTTGAATCACTCTGAGATCTTAAAATGTTAAAATGCAAATTTTGAATCAGAGATCTGGGATGGGGTCTACATTCTGCATCTCCTGAGTGATGCCAGTTGCTGGTGTGGAGCAGCAAGGTTGTAGTACATTATTCTAAGATCTTGCATTATGAAGAAATGAACTTTTTTTTCTCTTAAATTTCTCTAAGAATGTTATTATTTCAAGGCTCCAAATTAAGTTTTAAGTTAATTTCTAGATAAACAGGTAGCTGTGCTCAAAGGGAACATTAATTTAGTAATTGATGATAAGCAACAGGACAAAGGCAAGAGCCTGGATGTTGAGGCTTGACTTCACTAATAAGCGGTCCTCCTGAGTCAATGCTTATGAGTCAACCAACCTGAAAAGATGGCTATGAAAATATTTCCAAGCACAGTCACTCCGACAATACTATCCTGCTGCTTTACGGAACACCAATGACTTTTCTGCTTCAGAATAGAGAACATTGCAAACTGTTTTCCCCCACTGAGGATCTTGCAATAGCTTTGTAAAATAGCCTAAACATACTCTTGTTGATGTCAGGAAATTCTCTGAGGTTATAATAAAATTCCTTTGCAAATAGAGCAAATAGGTCAGTATCATTTAAAGGCAGGAACAGATATCTGCAGTTAAATAAAGATATAAATACATTTTTTTTCTTATATGAGTAATCAACCAGGTCTCACTTTTAGGTACTGGGTTACAATATTACACCATCTTGAGAAGCCAAGAGAGGAAGAATTTCCCTTTGCCATTCTGTTTGGAGATAACAAAAAGATGTTTTTGTACCCTAAGCCACAACAAAGCAAGCCTATCCAGATTTTTTTTAAAGTTTGAGTTCACATTTGAAAGCCCATGTTCTTGGGATTACAAGGCCAGACTGGATATTAAAGTGTATAATACAATGAAAATAAATAGTAACATTTATTGAACAAATCCTATGTATGAGGTATGTTTATCAAGTGTTTTATATACTAGCTCATTTAATCCTAGATTTAAGGATATCAGATTACTATCCTGCATTATAGATGGAGAAACTAAGGTTAGATTAAATAGCATGCTCAGAAGTTACAGAACTAAT